CCTATCCCCTGTGTGCCTTGCCTCCCACGACTTATGAATATGAAAGAAAAAAATATTTTGAGACTAAAAAATAGTGCATGTTGCAATACATTATCTAGACTGTCTATTTTCAAGATTTTCATATGTTTATAGATTTGCTTGATTTTAACCATTTTTTGAGTTTAAAACTCTATAAAACCTTATAGAAACCACACCCTATATAAAATGGACACAAATAGGATACCAAATCATGCGTACACAAATAATCATAATAAATGAAAGGAAAATGGACACAAATAGAGACACAAATACAATACCAGATCATACGTAGTGTGTACATGCCAGAGTTGGCTAGATCAAGGGCCGGGGTTCGGGATGACGAAAGAGTTGTGCCAAATCAGACACTATGGTTCCGGGACAAAGAAAACCTAGATAATGACGAACTCTTTCTGTATTTTTCATAAATGTAAAACTCTTATTAAAAAGAGCTGGGCCAGATCTGGGATAGAGGGCAAACTTCTGCAAATCTCTAACTCTCCTGTTTTTCATAAATTTTAAATTTTTATTAAATATCATCGTGACTCAGACTGGCTCAAATTTGTTCTAATTAGCATAAATTTTGATTTTTTATTAAAAATTGTCCTATCCGACTCAAAGTTGGATAAATTGGGCCTGTATGTAGTGAGTAGGAGCCGAGTCCGATTCGACTTTTGAAAGACTGCTCCTAAGAGATTTGCATGACCAAATCTCTCTACTTGTTTTAAGGTATCATTTAACTGTATCTTCCAAAACCAGCTAAACCCCTCAGTCATTAAGGTGTTATGTGAGTGGAGGAAATCGTCCATCTTTCAGCAATTTTCATAAATATTTGTTCCCCGTTCAAAAATTTATCATTAACTTTTTCTTCAAAATAAAATGGTATTTTTCTATTTTCAAGTGAAAGGCCAAGGCCAAAGCCTCTAAAACAACTCAACCAAATTTTTGTTATCCTCCTCCCATTATTGCTTAAAGCCTTAAAACAAATTCTGGTTAAAGCTTTGAACCTAAATTATTGAAAAATTGTTCAAATCTGCCAAAAAAATCTCCATTAATTTTTGACAAGGACTTTCTTTTCTAGCAGAACAAATGGAGCTCCTTTAATTACTTCTCCATCAGGAAACAAATATGATAGGGATCTATATTATCATCTTAATCATAATGATACTGCTAGAGCCCAAACCAAATCTTTACTTATACTCCAAGCTAAAATTCCAACTCAAAAGCATGTTGAGAGAGAGAGCCCCATCCAAATCTTTACCTATACTCCAAGCTAATTCCAACTCAAAAGCATGTTGGGAGAGAGAGAGCCCAAACCAAATCTTTACCTATACTACAAGCTAAAATTCCAACTCAAAAGCATGATGAGAGAGAGAGAGAGAGAGAGAGAGAGAGAATTTTCTATATTTCTTTCCTCACCATCTCAGAAGCATGTTTCATGGCTGCTTCAGAGACCCCACCTTCTCCGTCTCTCAAAAACTCCACCATATTATCAGAAATGCAGTGTGCGATAGACTGAACTGTGATCATGGGGTTCACACCAAGTGCAGTGGGCATCAAGCTCCCGTCACAAACGAACAGTCCCTCAGCCTCCCAACTCTCTCCTCTCTCATCAACTGCACTTTTCTCCTCATCCGCTCCCATCCTGCAACTCCCCATTTGATGAGCTGAGGTATATAAATTCCATTTTTCCTCTCCTGAGTATGCCCCCCCAAAGACCTCAATCCCATCTAAAAACTCCTCAAAATCTTCATCTCTCATCCCCTTAGTCTTAATTCTCTGCCCATCACTCCTATGTGTTCCCACCTCTACAGCCCCAGCTGCAACAAGAATCCTCAAAGCAGTCCTCAACCCCTTCTTGAATTTCTCTCTATCTGTCCTGTGTAAATTATAGGTAATCTTTCTCTCTTTCATCACCTCTCCTGACCCTGTATCTCTGACTAGAACAAAGATATGAACAGTTCGTGCGTACCTCCTCATCGCCTCTTTCATCTCACTACCCGAAAGCCATGGAAATATTGCAGAAAAACTGGCAGGTCCAAGAAAGGGTGTCTCGATTATTACACCTGAATCATGATCTTGGTTCTCTAAGACCAGTTTGTGTATAGAAGTGATAATACCACCTTGGTAACATTTTCCTCTCAAGGATTCACCACAATCTTGCTCTGGAAAGTAACCCCATGCCATTGAAACAGGGTGAAGCCTCAAATTCCGACCAATATTTGGATTTCTCAGGCCACTAGAGATCAATAAGGGAGGTGTTAACAAAGACCCACATGCTGAAACAGAGAGCTTTGCTTTTATCATCAATCTCAAAGAGCTCTTCTTTCCTTTCTGGTTCACTTTGCATCCCGTGACTGCCATTACACCCACACATCTTTGGTCTCTCTCTCGCGACCAAGGTTTCCCACTCTCTTTCCTCTCCAAACCATCATTCTCTCTCATCACAAATTTCTTGGCCTTGACGCCAGTGAAAATCAAAGCACCAGCCTCCGCTGCATCAACCAGCCATGTGCATTGAGTCCCTTGTTTCTCTCCAGTTCGGCAACCATAGCCACATTGTCCACAATAATGGCCTTCTGGTGAATTTCTTGGCACGAACTCTACCTTGAGCCCAAGCCTCTCACACCCAGATCTGAAAACTTCATTTTGGAAGTTCTCTTTCTCACACTTCTCTGTCACACCCAACCTCTTGCACACAGCTTCCATGGCTGCCCTGTAATTGTGGCTTCCAAAGAGAGAGAGAGAGAAATCTTCAGACCATTGTTTTAAAACTTTATCCGGTGTTTTTATACAGGCCGACCAATTAATAGCAGAGCCCCCACCAACAGTTGAACCAGCAGTAATCAATACTTTGGCATCAGTTGTCGATAAAATGCCCCCTGATTCATACATTTGATCCATAGAGGGACCTTCTAAGAGAGAGTAGTCTTGAGGGGTAAAGTAAAGGCCTTTCTCTAAAACTAAAACTTGATAGCCTGATTTTGCGAGCTTCGCTGCTGCTACTGAACCACCAGGGCCTGAACCCACAACCACTGCATCGCATTCGAGAGTTAAGAGATCTGCAGAAGGGTCCTCAGTGACAGTGATCCCTTTGGTTTTAATGGTAGAAACAAGGGATTCTTTAGTGAGAGTTGTAGTGCTTATAATGGAGTCTTTGAAGGATTTTGGAGGAGGGTTCTTGGGTGGCTTAAGGGGCCCTGGGCTGTAGTCAATTGCTTCCCATGATGGGTTTTTGGAGTTTACATCTGTCTGCAACAGTTGAGATAAACAATGGGGGGGGGGGGGGTGGTTGGTTAGTGAAGTCATAGATAGATGGAGGGAAGAGGTTAAGTAATGGTTATCTCTCTCTTTTATTGATTTTTAATCATAAAAATTAACTCAAAAAAATCATTTTACACCATTGCAACACAAACTTTTTCAATCGATGGAAAGGGAAAAAGAGGGTTAAAATTTTTTTTGGGTTGAAATAGTATAAAAAGATTTGCTGTGGCTAATTTTTATAGTCAAAATCAATAAAAGAGGGAGATAAGAGATGAGGGGCTACGGTGAAATGTTCAGAATAATACAAGGAATTAAGGTTCTGTATGAAATTTTCCCATTATCAAAATACTCATAAATTCTCAACAGTTTAACAGCTTTTTACCCTTTTCCAACAATTCGTCTCTTGTGTATATTATGAGAAAAAGCTGTTTCAATGCATGATCATGTATATTTAGGTAGGTATTTTGAAATTAAATAAAAAATATGAGAAAATTGTTAAGGGAAAAGTTCAAGAAAGGTGTTGACCTTACACTATTGAAGTAATGTGCATCTCAAAAATCCCCAAAAGAGAGGGTTTCGACATTGAAAAACCCTCCAATCTGATCATCTTGTCCTCAAATGAATGGGTACGAAGAAAAACTGAATTTTAGATCCTAAAAATAGATATCTAGTAACAAATCATCGGGAGTCTATTTTCAAGTGTTTATAGAATTGTTTTATCTATACCATTTTTGGTATTTTAAATAGTTGAAAATATATTTTCAAGTCATTATATGGCTTCGGACACCGAAACTACATCCAAGCAAAATCAAGAAGTGCTCCTTACTTGTACAATATAAGGATGGTTAAACAGTTGATATCTTGTGTATATTTTTATAAGGAAAAAGTTTAATCCGTAGCTCTACATTATAAGATTGGTTGCAACCTTATAAGTAGACCTACGGATGCACCTCAAAAATCCATCGGAAAAGGTAGTTTTAATATTGAAAAACCCTTTGATTGATCATCTCGACATCGAGATGTATGACCATGAAAAATAAAAAGATTTTAAGTCTCAAAAATACTGCATTTTACAATGTCTATTTTCAAGATTTGCATATGTATATAGATCTACTTGATTTTAACCATTTTTAAAATTTAAAATTTTATAATTAAATATAAAAATAGATTTTGAGATAATCTTCATAGCATTTTACATCAAAATTATATATCATGATAAAATTTGAAGGCGCACCTTACCTCTACATCGCCTGATGCATCGGTATGCCAACTGCACCATTTTTTAAAATCTCTTTAAAAAAGAATCATCCGGAGTAACTCTTTTGCGCGAGGAAGTAAGTGTACAGTGTACTCTACTATACCAGCGGAAAACATGATAGGTGCATCATACGGTGTAAAGACTTTTGATGGACTCATATGGAAAGACTATTGAGCTCAAAAACATTTACGTTGATCACGAGATGAATCAAATACTATTTACACTTTCTCAAAGATTCATGACAAAGAAAAACCAATTAGACGTTCTGGATGCAAGACCACACTTACAGTTTGCTTCCCTGGGCCACTAAAACACCTTAGACGTAAACTAAGAAAATTATTAAAAATATCTCGTTTCTTTAGGTTATTGGAAGCAAACTCTAAATTTTCCGAAACCTAAATCATGCTCCTTTGCATTTTCATCAACCCATTATTTTTATTTATTTTAATTTTTTTTTTTTTTTTTTTTTTTTTTTTTAAAATACCCTTCACATAAGTGTTAAAGTCCTGCTGATGTGGGGCTTAACCTACTGGGACAATGACGGATGGGGGTAGCATTAGAACCACCCATGATGATCACCTTGGCTATCACGCACCACGGTGATACCATCACGGTTCAATTAGAACTTTAATAGTTAAACAACCCATGACCCTATCACGGTTCAATTAGAACTATGACGTGCTTTAAGTTCCGTGATTCTTTGTGGTTCTAGCCTTAAACCCAACACAAAATCACTTGAACCCATCATGGTTCAGGGTCAACTGTGATGCCCTACACTACCATGAAAAAAAATCACTTAAACCCATCATGGTTCAGGGTCAAAATCACTTAAACCCATCATGGTTCAGGGTCAAAATCACTTAAACCAATGATGGTTCACGGTCAAAATTACTTAAACCCATCATGGTTCGGGGTAAACTGTGATGCCCTACACTACCATGAAAAAATATACAAAAAATCGGCTACAAATGAAGTTTTGAAAAATTTGGGTTCTATTTCTAATAATCTAAAAAAGAGATATTTTTTATAATTTTCCTAACAACTACAAATAAAAAATAAAAAAATATTGAAACAAAAAAAAAAACTTACCCAGGAGTAGAAGACATACACGCAGAAAATCTTGAAGAGCGCAAAGCTAAGTCTGAGTGCAGAAAAGAAGCTTCTCTCTCTAGACCAGGCCATCAACACTTTCTCTCTCTTCTCCACTGGCATCTCAGAAAAGCTTCTAATGAAAGGGAAATTGAGAGAAAGGCAAGTGGACCCACAAAGAAGTAATGTCCCAAGCCTTGTGGACAAGGCCCACAATACCCATGAAACCAAAGTCACAGCATCTGGTAGTCCTCTTTTCACCATCAATTCTGCAACCTAAAAAGGCGCCCACAAAGATTTATGAAAAAAAGTGAAGCACAACAAATAAAATTGACCAAAAATAGGATAAGAAAATATTAGATGGTCTAAGAATAGGAAAAGAATTTCCTAAATTTAATAGGAATAAACAACATAAAACCCACAGAAGACAATGAAATGCAAAAAAAGAAATTACATAAAATCCACAAATCCTTGTCCAAAAATAAACCAATTAAAAAGATTAGTAAACGAAACAAGGTCGTTTTTTTTTTTTACTGAAATTTGGCTGTGGAGTACCAAAATTTTGGGAAACCAAAAAAGCAAAAAGAATAAACTGAAAGCATGAGAAGATGCAAATATTCCTTTGACTCCTATATTATAATAAATAAAAAATGTCAAATACCCAAAAATCCATTTTTTGGGAAGTAATTACATGACAAATCCACAGAATTAGTAACCATGATAAAACCAACATGTACCCAAAATTTGGGTTGAACCATTATAAAAAAAAAAACAGAAAAGAAAAGGGAACTGCAAACACCAAAAAGGAAGAAATATTTCTATGTTTTGTATTAAAAAAAGTGCAGTATTTTGGGTGTTGTTTGACGGTAAGTTTCGATGATAAAGTGATTGCAGAAGATGGAATTTCGTATGGAGAAGACGAAAGTTTCAGAGTTTCGGGACCGAAATAATGCCTGGTCAGGGACTTGGTAATCGGAGCCTGAAGCTTTGTAGAAGGAGACGAGGCTTGGGCTTGGTGGCGGATCCCGCTGGGAGCTGACGTGGAGGGCTGTGATTGGCATTGAGGGTATCAAGGCCTCACAGATGGCCGTCAGTGATTGGATCTGAGCTTTGGTGAAGCCATGACTGAAGCTCTTCTCCTTTCTTCCTCCTCTGAGCAATGGGTGAGCGGTATTTTGGTCATCTTCCATGGTTTTCGCCTTTTGGGTTTCTCTCTTCTCTTGTGTTTGGGGCTTCGATCTCTCTTTATCTCTCTAAATATATATAATAATATCTATCTCCTTGTTTTGAGTTTTTCTCTCTCTTCCCCTGAACTTCTCTTCTCTCTGTTTCCTCTGTGTTTGTCTCTCTTCTCTCTCTGGGTTTTTTCTTGCGTTTGGGTTTCTCTCTCTTAGGCGTTTTATCTCTTCTCTCTCTTAGGTGTTTATCTGTCCTCTCTCTTGGGTTTCTCTTCCCTTCGGGTTTCTCTCTTCTCTCTGAGGCTTTGGAATTCTCTCTGTAAAATATCTCTCCAAAGTATTCTCTCCTCTCTCTCTCTCTCTCTAAATTTTGGGGCTTTAGAACCTCTCGCTCCAAAGTATTCTCTCTCCCTCTCTCTCTCTAAAAAAAATTTTGCGGTTTTAGATTTTCTCTCTAGCTTTGGTTATTGGGTTGGATTGGATTGGGGAGTAGTATTTATAGGGGAAATTGGTTGGGGCTGTGCAGTTAATTGATCTCTTTCGTCATTATTGCTCATTTAAGTTTGATTATCCAAACGGATAACCATTTTTTGCCCCGGATATGGGTAATTCTCTCCCCCCTCTCTCTATGAATTTCTCTCTCTAAACCCATCAGACGGCTAACACATCTCTCTCTCCATGAATCTCTCTCTCTAAAACTATTAGGTGGCTAACAGAGCCTCTTTCTCTCTCTATAACCATCACCACCCTCTCTCTCTCTCTTTTGAACAGCGTACACACTCTCTCAAAAGCCCTAAGACGACTTACACCCCGTCTTTGTCTATTATTTTTCTCTCTCTAAAACCAGGAGTCTTTTACAGCTATTTCTAAAACCCCGTCCTCTCTCTCTAAACACCACATTCATATCGGTCTGTCTTGCCATGTTTTGCTTTCACTTATTTTATACTACGACAATAACCTTCAACTGCTTTACTTAATTTAACCTTTTTTATGCCAAACATATTTAAAGAGACGCACTTTTGTTTTTAAAAGCCACATCCCAAACTCCTTGAAAGATAAGGGATTCATGGAATCGAGAGGTGTTTGAAAAACACAAGAGGAGAAGGGTTCGGAGAGGTGTTTGAAAAACACAAGAGGAGAAGGGTTTCATGGAATCGAGAGGTGTTTTCAAAAAACAAGAGGGGAGAGTGAGATATGCTTAAAAAAAAAAAATGTGAAGTTTAGGATATATATAAGTGAAGTGAGAGAAATAATTGGAAAAAAAATGTGCAGTTTAGGATATATATAAGTGAAGTTTGAGAAATAATTGGTTTTAAAAAAGCATGTTTTTTCACATTTATTTAAGTTAAAAAATAAATTTAAAATGACTAGGTGTTAGAAGATATCTTTTGTAGCCTTATTAATAAATGAAACCTAAAATAAAGGGATAAGGAGATATTTCTTTTTTTATATAAGGGTTTGAGGTAATTTTTAGAGAAAAGAAAAAAGAAAAAAAAGTAAAGTTTTTAAAAAGAAAGTTTATATAGAGTCGAGCCTCTAAACTATCAAATTAAAGCCCACCTCAAAAAATTCACTAGAAGAGGTTGTTTTGATATTAAATCTTTAAATTGATCATTTCGACATTAAGATGGATGGACATAATAAAATAAATAAATTCCAAGTTTTGGAAATAATGGATCTTGTAATGCATTTTTGGATTGTCAATTTTTATAATTTTTAAGTTTTCATAGATCAACTCGATCTACACTATTTTTTAAGCTTGACATTTTTTATTTAGATATGGAAATATATTTTAGGGTATCACACTCGGTTCTATACAAATGTCACCCAAGTTTAAAATGGAAGAAATGATGTTGTAAAAAAGTGGGTTTTTTAAGCAGTTCGCCCCTTCATAGAGGTTTTTTAGACGTGAATGAGAACCCAAGAGAGAGAAGGTTTTTTTAGACTTGAATAAGAAGCCGAGAGAGAGAACTTTTTATGCTTTTTTAAGGAAATTATCACAAATATATCTTAATTTTTTTTTATTTAAAAAAAAAACTCTAACTTTCATAAACCTCGTCTACACCTTTGTTCTTCAATTTTAGGTGTTTTGTGACTAAAATAACCTTCATGGTAGTCATATTACAGTAAAGAATATTATGGTACTTTAAGTACCTTAATGAATACCCAATTTTATACGATACTTATAATGCCATAAAAAAACCTGTTTTTATTACAGTACCCGAATTACCGTAATACTATTAAAACATATTACGGTACTTAAAGTATTGTAACCCTATTGATACTTTATACAATAGGAAAACAACCGTGAGTTTTTCTAAGCTTTCACGCCCTATTTCACAATTTCTTTAGGCCTAAAAACCCCATTTCCCTCTAACCCCTCCTAAAAACACTAAAATATTATTTTCCCATCTCATTCGCACTCTAACCCCACACATCTCTTCCTTATCCTCCTCCATCTCTAATATCTCATCTATTTTCTGTCATCTCCTTCTATTTCTCAATCTGTGATACACACCAATACCATTTTATAGGTATGTCATGAAAATCATCAAGCTTTGAATTATATTTCCTTGGATGTGCAAATATTATGTTTTAACAAATATTATGCTCTTTTTTTTTTGGTATTTGATGTAGTTGGGTTGGCCATTTGTAATTTTTTTGTTTGAAATATTGCATAAATAAATTTTAGATCTATATTTGTATTAATGCATATGTATTGACATCTAATATCCCTCTGTAATGCTACCTCGTCATTATATCTAAATATTTTAAAAACTTTATACATGCATTGCTTTCTTCCGTTATTGATACCAAAAATTTCCATTTTATATTTGTTTCTATCTTAAATTGGAGATCTCAGTAGTGATTGGGCTTGCACGCACCAAAAATGGGTGACGACAAAGTGAAAATCGCTTTACACTTTGGTGGTTCTTTCAAGAGGAATTCTAATAGTGGACGTGTTTTCTATAATGGTGGGGACCTGAAGATTACTTATTTTAGGCGAATCTCATCCTTCGACCAAATAAAAGCTCACCGATGAAAAGTAACAAATTGTGCTCCAAGTACCATGTCTATTAGGTATATTGATTCAGGGTTACTAGGTAACATGAATATGGTATGTATTGACGATGATGACGACATTGCAAATATGATGGAAGGGTCTTCTCCCATTGCTAAGTATGTATCAAACAGACCTATTGAGTCGGACTCCACCGAATCTTGACCACCAACAGTGGTCGATAATGGTCCATTAAGATTGATCATGTAACAAGTTTGTAATAAAATTTATTTTTTTATTTAATAAATTTTTTAGTGCAGATGTTATGGGTTAGGATAATTCTCACTTGCTCTTCTAATATTTTTTCGACAGCGATACCCGACAAGAGTAAGTCGTTCAGAGTGAAGATGAGCATGATTTAGAAATCAAGCACCATATTGACGACATCGATATGATAGAAAGCTATATCATGATTGACAGTTATGAAGTTGTACTTCAACAGGGTCAGGATTTTGATGACGTACAAGCATATCGTAATCATCTTATTGATTATGCCATATCACAAAACTTCAATATGAAGTTTGTAAAAGTGAGGAGAGACAAGTATGAGTGAGGTGTGTTGCAGATGAGTGTCCATGGCAAGTGCGTCGTTGGATGGTTAATACTACAATCTTCTTCTAGGTGAAGAACTTTGTAAATGTGCACTCTTGTGTCGGTACAATAGGCATGGTTCATCAGCCCCTTGCTCGAAGCCATGGGGTGGTAACCAAGATCAAAGACTGTTTGAATGATATACCCAATTTGACATCTGGAGATGTTATTAATGATGTACAACGTGATCACGATATATGTGAATGAAAATATATTTTCATAGCATATGCAGTAGTTGAGAGTGAAAATACACAAAGTTGGACTTGGTTTCTATAGCTTCTCAATGAGCAGTTTCAAGAAAGGCATGATCTGCCAGCTTTGTCTATTATATCAAATCGTCAAAAAGGGTTGCAAGAAGCAATTGAAAAAATATTCCTAACCAATGAACAAGGGTATTGTATGTGTCACTTAACCAATAACTTCAAAAAGGAATTTAGAAATCCGGTGCTCACAAAACTTTATTGAAAAGTGACACGTGCATTAGCTGTATCAATGTTCGATGAGTACATGTCAAAAATTAAGAGTGCAAATGATGAGGCCTATGTCTATATCATAAAACAATATCCAAAAAATTGGACAAATGCATATTTTCAGGGATGACAAATGCATATTTTCAAGGGTGTAGATAAAATCATTTGACATCGAACATCTCCGAATCATTTCACAGCTGGATATTAAAAGCTCTGGAGAAGCCTCTCATTAAACTCCTTGAATGCCTAAGGGTTAAGCATATGAGAAAATTTGCTAAGAGGATGGCTAAGTCCTTAGAATTGAGCAACATGCTTACACCAAATATTCAAAAGGTAATAAATCATATGAGAGTTAAGTCCAAATTCCTTCATACAGTTCTATGGGCACATGATGATATGTATGAGATCAATGTAGATACGAAATATGTTGTTGATCTGGTGAGACATACATGTACCTATCGGGTGTGGCAGGTTAGTGGGTTGCCGTGCAGTTATGCGATCGCCGCTATAAATCATAGGCATCAAGATGTTATAGAATATTGCGGTGTGTTATTTCACAGTGGATATGTGTTGTAGAGCATATTTCTTTCCCTTCAACCCTATGCTAGAAATTGTTTTTACAAACTGTAAGGCGAACCACGGGTTGGCCAAAGAAACGTCATAGAGAAATAGAGCATAATGAGATTATGCATCTTAAATGTAACCGATGTGGGGTCGTGGGCCGTAACTAGAAGACATGCAAATCAAGTATATTAAATGATGTAAAGAGGCCATTAGTGCCAGTTGATCTTTTCTTTATATGCCCTTTTACTTCTGAATTTTTAGAGAGGTCAGTACCTACTGATATGACGTTTTGGTTCAATTTATGAAATCGCTAAAGTTGTTCAAGCTATTCAATTTTAAAAAGAAGAGTTCATCTTAAATGTGTTGTTCAATTTAAAAAAGTATGTGTTCTTCAATTATTTTTTTCAAAAAAAGTGTTAAAGTCATTACGATCTTTCTTTTACCGTAATGCTCATTTTTATAATTACAATAAACAAAAATACCGTAATACTCATTAAGGTCATTTGTCTACCATAACAAACAATTAGAGTATTATGGTACCCAAAAGACCTTAATGCTCCAAAACTCTATAAGGTTTCTAGTAGTTTTTCAAGCATTATGGTCTTTTGGGTACCGTAAGGCCATAATTAATCTTTACGGTAGAAAAAATACCGTAATGCTCATTATGGTCCTTTTACTACCGTAACGATTACTTATAACACAACAATAATTTCAAGACGGTAATGCTCTAAAGCAACCACAAAAATTCTGGAGTTTTGGAGCATTATGGTCTTTTGGGTACCGTAGTTCTATAACTGATCTTTACGGTAGTAAAAAAACCGTAATGATTATTATGGTACTTTTTTTTACCATAAAGATTAGTTATGGCAGTACGGTCCCCAAATGATCGTAATGCTCGAAAAACTTTTGCACTTTTGGAGCATTACAGTCTTTTGGGTACCGTAATGCTCTAACAGTTTATTATGGTAGACAAATGACGTAACGAGTATTATGGTATTTTTTTTACCTTAATTATAAAACTGGGCATTACGGGAAAAGAAAGATAGTAATGAATTTAACATATTAAAAAAAAAATTGAACACAACTTGAACAACACATACTTTTTTAAAAATTGAACACATACAAAAAAGGAAAATTTTAAGTTAAATGACCTGCATTAAAAATTAATTGAAAAATAAATAAACAAATCAATATACCGACATCCTTTATCCACACGTTATTGGTCTCATGTCGCCCCACGAGAGAGAAGTTATGAGAGTTATCTCATTCTCTAGGAGGGGCCCACCTGAGGGATTTAGGTTGCTCTGCCTTATTTTTTTTGGAATTGAGCGCAATAATTTGAAATGCTCGTACGCCCAACATTGAAATACATATATAAAAAATAAGCATTAAAACAAAAAAATATCTATCAAACTTTAAAAAATATCAAAATAGTAATATACTAGTATTGCCAGCAAAAGAGTGGTTGATCCACTTAGGTGTTGGTAATCAGGATGAACAACTTTTGACAAGGCTCGGAACAAAAAAGCCAGGGCAGCTCACCAACCATTTTCATATCCTCAAAAAACTGTAAATATATTATAAGCATCGTACCATCTTTGGAACCTGTAAAGATTGTGCAGTTGACTAGATATAGGAAGTAAGCAAAAGTGTGTCGTAAAAGGGTGGTGCGGTTATAGTTCCATGACGACAGTTTAAAAGTGTTTTTCAACCATGTAGAATGACTACTACTATGTGGCAGATGTTATATCATGCGGACTATATAATCCATGTATTTCTCTACTCTCCTAAGAGTTATATCTACACTAGTTACCCTTACGCGGAGAATTTTCCATATATCTTCAAGAGTAGGCATCATCTCTCCAATGTCTACATTGAAATGGCTGGTGTTCGTCTCTACACACCACCTCTCGATGATAATAGACAATGTGTCACAATCGTAGTGAGTCATCCGTATTATGGTCAAATGATACAATCCTGATGTCTTGACCGAGTCAATTTGATCATTATTTGTTAAAGGCCATAAAGAAGTTGCATTGGCCTTCTCATCAACCCTCAGGGGATTTTCCCGATCTTGAAATGGAATTTGTGATTTCAAACACTAAAATAAATAAAATGATTAACCAACATGATGAGGAATATAATTTGAAACAATTGTACATACATCTCCTTCCCAGATCTTCTGTTATATATGTTCTCTATGTTATTGAACAATATAGGAATCTCAGGACCTCCAGGGCAAGGTGCGCCTTCTGCCATGATCTTTGTTCAAAAATCCATCATAAACAACAATCTCATGGTAAAAAAACTGCTACTAGTATATCAGACACCTGACCAAGGATATGACAAAGTCAAAGAACAAGCAGTAAAAGAAACTACATAAGGCCATTCATTCATAATTGGGACACAAAGTTTAGCTATATTCAATCATAATTGGGAAATAAAGTTTAACTAACAGAGCAAACAAGAAATCACTTTCATATATATTTTCATGGATAATTATGAAGATTTGTCATGATAAAGAAATCAAATATTTGCAACAAAAATGTTATTGATATAATGTAGAGCATCTTGGTTTCATGAGCATGATTATTACTCAAGAATAATTGAATAAAAAATAAATTTCAAAGTTGAGTAATTTCATGCTTATTTTGAACTCTTAATCAAAGGCATATCAACTCTAAACAGTACAGAGCACTTATTTTAGCAATGCCAATACCAAAATCCCATTCCAAAACAAGCTAAAAAACAATAAAAAAATTCTCTCTCTCTCT